GGGTATTTCTTGTCGATTCATCTGGATTGGATGTTGGCTGAAGCTATCAAATACCAGAGATGTAGGGAATTGTCGACCGATGAGAGATCTACTTAGCGGTAACTACGAGTCTACGAACCGACGAGGAGAGAATACCTAGTATCTGGTAATAAGTACCGTTACCGTTACCGTGACCGTTACCGCATTCAAAATACATTACTTCTTTACTTATTTTCTATTGCGATACTTCATCACCCTTCACTGATCGCAACTAACACTTGGAGCTTATTTCTTTTCCAAGTATCCGAAAGTGCATTGATGAATTGATTTGTTTTGATCGTCAACTTTGGACCAATGAAAACTCAATATGGGACAAGATTCATTGAGAACCAATCATATTCCCCCATTCGTTGAAATTCTGACGCGCCAAACCTCATTTTGTTTGATCCACTCTCGAGCCACTATCGCCCAATATGGACGCCTGACCCACTTTCTCTCTCTTCGCTTCACTTTCACTTCCACATCGAACCTACACACCCTCACACCCTCACACCCACCATACCATACCATTCATCCATCCATCCATCCATCCATCCATCACCCACCCACCTTTAACTCCTTCCCGCCGCACTTGCCTGGCCTTGCATACCTAATCTTTCCTTACTATCCTATTCTATCCATCTTCACGACACGATCCGACCTCTGAATAGCTTCCTCATTCCTCTACCTTCCTCCCGCACGCCTATCGCCACTTCAATTCTAGTTGATCCGATCAGCAAGACTCTCGAGGAACAATCAACCTCCTTTCTTCGTCTTCGTCTTCGTCTTCGTCCTCATTAAATTCGCCCCTTCACCGAAGCAAGTATCATCGAAATCCCGAATCGCATCGCATTCTATCGCATCACCTCGCACCGTAGGAAATTGAAGAGGAATTAGACACCCGAATCAAGATACTCCCTTGTCTCGGTCTCGGTCTCAACCATCGATTTCGCTCAATTGTCTCTCTTGCGCCTTGAGTACGGTGATCACCATTTCCTATCCGGCAGACGTGCGCCATTTCACAAATACAACATTCATACAACAACACCACATTTGTCCTCCCTCGCGATCTGCGAATTTCACTACAGCACACATTCTTTTATTCCACTACTTCGCTTCTCGCTCGAATTTCTTTTCCTCGTTCTGCTGGTAGAGCAATCGATTATCTGGTACTAATATTTTCACAACGGAATTTCAATCGTGCGACCGCGATAAAATAATCATAATATTTGAAGGGTGAATATACCAGAAAGTCAGTCGCGACGATACGCGCGCAAAAGTCAACAGTCATCTATCGAAGCACGGCCGCAATCAATCAATCTCCACAAAGAATTAATCTCACGATACGCCGGGACCCTCTACAAATTGTCAATCAACTGGTTGAAAGAATCGCCCTACCCACGAATACCGAGTCATAGCTGGGGATTCAGTTCCTGATTCGTTCAAGCCTATCAATTAAATCACACCCTAATCATTGATTCGGTTCTTCAAGATCGTCAACATCAAATTGTTTATGCAGGGCCTCCTTCGCACCAGTCTGCATTCAGAACGAATTTTCCAAAACATCTATTGACAGGATCTGTTGAAGTTGGGAGGTAAATTCAAGCTTCACATTGGCTTGAATATATTCACTTCGCTCGTCCCGAATAAACGAACGATTTTCTTCATTTACCTTTGATCACCCACCAAAACGTTCGTTTCTGGATTCTTTTACAATCCGCCCTCTTTCTCGATCTATTCGACTTTTCCAGCCTTCTCATTACACTGCACATCTCCTGTAATTTGAAAAAGTGCATTGCAACGAGTGAGATTTGCTTCTGGCGTTCTGTACAAGATCGAATTCCCACTTTTTCCATTCTACAATTCAGTCAAATCTGAAAACGTTTCAACTAATTCATCAACACGATGTCACATCACCATGAAAATGGGTCAAATACCCTTCCTCGGGGTTTCCGCTTTCATCATCTTGAAGGAGATCAGCCAACTACACCCGAACCCTTCAATCTTGTTGGATCGGAGGGTCCACCTTCTCCACCCCGTCCAAATCGTTTAAAGGTCAGACGACGAAATGTGTCGAACTTGCAAGCACCAACTGAACATTTTCTCGCTTCTGTTGCAGCTGCAGATATCCCTATCCCTACAATCGAGGAGCCACAAATAGCTCCCCACGTATCGTCAGATTGCGATATGCCAGACCGAGACCCACTTTCCATCAGTACATCTTTCTTGGCCCCGCACACATACAATACAAGATTCTCATCTCCTCCGAAAACTCCAATACCTACTTTAGCCATGGAAGAAACAAACCTTCAACGTCCCGATTGGAGAATGGGACTCTCGTCGCCAAGTGAGCTTGATATTGAACGACCAACATCTGCCGCATCGTTACGCTCTGAAGATTCATTTTACAGCGAAGGCCATCTCTCAAGGTACTCGGAAGATGGTAGTTGTACAAGTCCCGAGTCCGATTGCGCCGATCCATTCTCATTTCCATCATATTCAAAAGCCAAGGGCAAGAAGCTACACAACGAAGCCACCAAACCCAATGATACCGTTCTCAACGCAAACCTCCGTCACAAAACTCGAAAGGATGCACCGTGGACTTCAGCAATGAGTTCTCATTTGTGGTCGGTCTATCTCCTCTATCTCCAAGATCCAGTCGTGACACCTTTTCGAATTGGAGCTTGCGCTGTGCCCCCGGAAGGTGTATGCCATCGTGTTGCTCGACAAGCAAAAAAGAGTTGGAAGGGACCTAGAGGAATTCACAGTGCCAAAACTTCCAATCATCCATCACGTGCGGCGCCTTCTGAACGCGACCAGCTTGCAACCCCAATTGGGGATCGACAACGAACATACACACAGTGGCCCCACACAAGCTCAGCTACTCGCGCACATCTTCGCGAACTTTGCAAGACAAAAGATACCAGCGCAGTTCAACGACATATGCACCTTCAATCTAGAAATTCTACTCCTTTTACACAACATAACCCTCGTTCACGATTCAGAACTCCCGAGCCGCAAGTTTCTGTTCCAAAGACTTTCAATACTAAAGATATCTCAATATCGTTAACGACAAGTACATCCGAAACCATGCAACCAAATGGACCTTTAGCTCAACTAGCCACTTCCCAAGAATCTTCCATTGCTAGACCGCGCAGATCAATGTGTCAACCTAGAGGCTGGGTTAGATCTCGTACCACAAATCTGAGCTTGGACGACTCGAGAACTCGAAGTCTCGGGTCACCATTCATGGCTCGGACGTATGGACCTAGCTCGACCATGGATGGGGCATTTGATGAACCTCGGCCTTCAGCTTTTCGCGTTCATTCTGATACGATCTCAGGTCCAGGACCTGCACCTCGTCTTAGGTCACCTCTTCACTTTGATCCTCCTCGTCCTTCAAACAACAAGGAGCACAAAAGGCGGGTTCAAAATCATTTTGAAAATTTAAATTCAGGTGGAGCTATTTTGAAGCCAAATAGCATGAATGAGCAGATATATGGTATGCCTCTCTCGGGAAACCAACAGCGACGAGTACGGACTCGAGCATTCACCATCGGTGATGATCTTTTCAGAACCCGCATGCCAGGATTGTTTCAACCTCTTCCAATAGGATCAGAAAAGACGGGTCTTGTTCCCGATATTAGTCCGTCGCCAAGATCCCAGCCAAGGTTACTTCCATCGGCCACATTCGATGCTCCACGTTTACGATCGCCTTTTATGGAGAAACCAAGTAATACATTTCCTAGAAGAGCTGCTCATCACCAAAAGACACCTGTTCGCCACTCTGGAATAGTGACCATGCATAAACCACGTCACTCGATAGATTCTTCTGATTTTGATGAAAGGCCTTCACTGCAATCAAGACTTACTCGACTTGATACCAGGCTTGCTGAAATTAGAGAAAAGGAAAATGGCAGTCGAAATTGAGATAGTCCATGTATTGCTGTATAATAGACGATCGATCATTGTTCCATCGCCATCTGGGATACATTTATTTCTTTGTCTTGCATATTTGCGCTTCTCTGGCCATGATATCCATGAATTATGCGCTGCTGCATAAGGCGCAATTTGGAGTTTCTTCAATTCAAATTCTCAGCTTTCGCTCATCGAGCCCCGCCTTGATGATGGCAATTATACTCTTCGTTGAGGCTATATAGCTTCTTGTTTTAATCGGCATTATTTCCTTGTATTATAACTTGCTCTACTTTCCGGGATTGAGATGAACGGCACGTTGGGAAATGATTGTAACGATTTTACGAAATATGGTTGGAAGGGGAATATGATATTTTATTTGCCTTTTATAATATTGAGCAAATGGTTTTTCTTTTTCTTTTTACAATCCTACTTATGGTGGATGTGTGGTACTTACTGGATATGGATATTGTATTCGGGAATCGATGCTGTGCATATGAGGAAAGGGAAATGGTATGGTTTTAAGGGGGTTTATGTAGATACGGGATGGGAACGGATGGATAGGATGGGAAAAAAAATCAATATCATACAATTACTTCTTTAAATTGGTCGTTTGAGTTGGTGTGACGTGATACTTATAGTGATTTCGATAGTAAGCAGAGCGGAGTAAAGTGTTGGGGACTTTGTGTGTATGGGAAGTGGCTGTTCAGATGGGTGATTTGGAGCTAAGCTGTTGGCGAGGGGGGAAGAGGGGGGGCTTTGTTATCGATTATTTCAAGGATTTGTTTATTCATTGTTCAAATTTCTTATATAAGCATTACTATTGATTTTCAAATTGGCGTCTCAATTGTTTTTTGTTTATGTAAAGAACGTTTTTCTTTTTCATCGTTTGAATTATCATGTGAATTATCATGTGAATAATCGTCCAAAATCGCAAGACATGAATCAATTAATCAGAGCATTAACTCCAGCGTCCATACCACTCTCCTTCTCATTCACATCCACATCCACATCCACATCCACATCTCAAAAACGCATCCCCTCAAAAAACTCCTCTCCTCTCCTCTCTACACCATCCTCCACAACCCCCACAACCCCATCCACACCCCCATCCACACCCCCATCCCCAAAACCACCAAAACAAAAATCTCTCGCACTCCTCTCCCCCATCTGCCAATCCTCGCCTGTTCTTCCCGCAGCGCGATAATCTCGCGTTGTTGTTCTGCGCTTGTGAATTCGAGATCTCGGAGTTGTGAAGAGAGGTGGGAGATTTGTTGATGTTGGATTTGGGTACGGAGGGTTTGTTGATGGGTTTGGTGCTGGATTTGTTGCTGGAGTGTGTCGATGCGAGGGGCGGCGATGAGGATCCAGGTTGTGAGGAGGGCGAGGATGGCGAGGGGGTGGTAGGTTGGTGGGGGGAGTTGGGGGGGAAGTTGGGGGGGAAGTTGAGGTTGTAGTTGGGGGGAGGGGGGTGGGGTGGGAGGGAGGTCGGACATCTTTGGGGTGTGAGTGTGTGTGGGGACTTACTTGATACTTGTATGGTTGAGGTAGTTACTCTCTTTTGTGTGTTGTTGTAGAGAATATCTTTGCAGCCAGGCAGGTAGGTAGGTAAGAAAGTAAAGCTCAATCTATGTCTATGTGTCCGTGGATATACTGAGAGAAGGAAGAAGAAAAATATTAAGAGAGCGGGGATGTATGGTATGGGTTATATATCTCCAGATTGGGATTGTTTACTGTATGTTTGGGGGTTTGATGATGGTACAAAAATATACTGTTGGGGAATTGGAATTGGAAGTGCGGCGGAATAGGGAGAGAATAGGGGGGTTGGATTGTAGTATTGTTTTTTTACAGTGTTGGATTCGGTTGTTTTGGATTTGGGGGTAAGTTATTACCTGGTACTTGGGCGTCATGCCAGAAGTGCTTAACTACAGTGGAATAGTATACAATCCAATCATGAAGTTACAGCTCGTTTGGGAAAAACATTAAGATCGTAAGAACCATTACCCTTCTGCAATCCTCGCTTCCAAGCAGGCCTATCATAAACTCTCTTCAACCACTCATCCAGTCTAGGAAATTCCCTTTCTAGATCGACCCAGTTCCTATGCTTTACGAAGCTCATTGGAAACTCCATCATAATATCAGCCCTACCAGGATTCTTCCCCATGAAATACCCACCTTCCGGTGCATTTTTTAGTTCTTCGTCCAAGATAGTTAGAATCTCCCTCAACTCGGGACCATCAAACCAATCTACAACTCCATTCCTAATGAAATCTAGATCAATAAAAAGGACGAAAGAAACCGATCGCACGAAAGTCGTAAGATTGAAACAAGTAAGAATCTCATCTCTAACCCAATCACCGCTAATTAAGCCAAACTTATCCTCGGTGTCAAACTTGCGAAGAAGATATGTGCATATAGCATCGCTTTCGGGAATATATCGGTTGCCATCCGCGGCACCAGTTGTCAGAACTGGGGCCTTTCCATATGGGCCGAGGGCTTTGAGGGATTCGGGAGCGCGGAAAGGGGCAATAGGATCATCGGCAGGTTTGCGGAAGTGGTAGATGACATTGTATTCAATACCCAGCTCTTCAAGAAGCCAGAGGATACGTTGAGATTGGGAGTGCTAGTTTCGTTGGTTATTTATCATCAGATTTGGAGGGGCGAACTTACATCTAAGTGATGGAGAGTTGGCTTATTGTCTGCCATCTTGTTTGACTGAGGGGGTAGGTAAATTAAGCTGAGGTTAATCGAAGATGCTGTTCACTAAGTATTGAAGAGATGAGGGATTCGACGAATATATCAGAAATCTACAGATTACTTTCTGCAACTTCTACGCCATCGAAGTATAGAAATGGAATGATTAACGCAATAAGAACGCCACGAGATGCTTTGCGCAAGCATATCCCGCTCGCGCCTCTTCAATAACAAGAACTTCTTACATTTCTTTTAGCTATGTGTCCACACGAATGCGTCCTGAAATTGTGTGAGAACTCAAGGAACTCGAATTCCAGAGTCACAACATAATCTTCATGTAACGTGAGCATTTATCGCATTCTTGTTCACTAATATGATTGTTGATTTATGGGGGCATGATTGTCGTGTACGGATGAAGGGGGAAGTCATGGATTTTGAAAATAGGCGGTGGTGGCCCAGGCTGAAGCACGTGGAACTTCACGGGCCTTCTCACCATCACATCCGGATTCTTGTTTCAAAATTTGTACTCTAACACACACAACATTCGTGGTCTATAAAACAGCGACACTCTTCATCTACCTACACAAGTTCGAAAAAGAGTATCGTTGATCAAAGCTCTAGAACACTTATTAGAACACCAGTACTACACTTGAGATTCCAGCTACACTGACGCCTTCCACAACACTTGGGTAGCTTGCGAACTTGCTTCGACATCCAACTCCAAAGACTTGCTTCTTCTCTGATGTCTGAAAAGATCGGAATTCTTATCACTTAAGGAAGCTTCATTACTCTTCGCCAGTATGCTAATTGGGTCAAACTCTGGGGCTATACCTGTCCTGCTGAAATTTTTCCCCGTCAGGCTTGATTAAGCTCTGATGAAATATCACCATCAAGTTTCTTCTTTCACGAGGCAAAGGATGGGGTATGTTAGTTGGCTGATACTTATTAGTCGTATCAAATTTAATGTCAGATGTCTCTAAAATCAATCGTGGTGTTTGTATCGGCGACGATATTCTTACCGGGTACTCAGATCTGCACGGCTTGTATCTTGGATGAAAATGATTTTAGCATTGATAGTATACTTCCGTCGGCACTCGACCAGATATTGTTTTGATCAGACCAGCTATATTCCTTGGCAATACCATCATTTCGCTACCTACCTAGTTCTGGCGGTCTAGCTAAGTCACGTATTGACCTGTATCCATTCTTGATTGACCTTTCAATATTCCGACAAGCACGATTTTACCTTGCTCGAGCGAGAATTAACACACACACACGCACAGTTCGTACAGAGACACGAATAGATCATTTCCGACTTTGCTTACAGCACAATAGACCAAGTCGTTTGTGCATATCGCCTGTCTCTCCAGTCCCCCACAGCTTTCGAACCTATCAACCGGCAGAATGCTCAATTTCGATCGGCACTCAATGAATCTTTCAAGGACGTCTTATACCTACTTCCCGGTCTTTCAAATGCTTTTGGTGGCAGATTCTTCCATCAAGGTGGTCATGAAAGTTGCATGGTGAGAAGCCCCATACGGGCGTTAAGGCTACTACTCCATCATGTAATGCTCTCCTGAGAGCAACAGAGTCGTCCTCCAAGCCATCGATGCGTTTTTTCATGTCCCAGTACCGTGGCCAAAGCTCTGGAGGACAACGATCTAGTTCATAATTGAAGCTATAGCATGCCAGCTTTCTCAAGCCACAATTCTTTGGGGTATGCTTATAGATGCCAGCGATGTCTTCCTTCGTCAATAAGGCTCGATTTAACTCCAGAGCTCTCACTACATAGTCTGCTATGAGATTCATCAAATCTTCCACACACAATCTGCTCGCCAGCAAATAGAGCCCTCCCCAATTGAACCCCGTTTCGATCCGAACGACTGGACGATCATGCTGCGTGCGTTCACCCATTTTTTTGCCATCAGGATAAATTGACCATGGAGGCAAGTGCCCATTAGACGCCCACCACATCAAATCGTGGAAAGCCTCGAAGTCACCACTGGGAAAAGTAACGGAATTCGATGCTGCTTCTTGGGATGTTCCATTAAAGAAGTTTTCGAAGTATTGAATTTTCTCGCAGAGAATCTTTCTGTAAACTCGGATCACTAATCTTTCCGGGCCGATATAGATCTTGACAATTTCTTTTTCTGGGCTCCCATCTTCCTCATCGTCACATGGGCAGTGAAGGGGTTTGAAATTGTCCCGCCGCTCGTCTTCCTTATGTTCAACAGGGCAGTGGAGAACTAAGCCAGCTTTTTCTGATGGCGTCTCGAAGTCGCAGATAACTGCAGCCATTTGCTTACTCTCCTTCGAGCGCTTTTGGTATTTCCAAGGTTCAGCACGTTCGTCCCATACAACACCCATCGAACCTTCATCTTGCAGATCGTCTCTCCATCGCTCAAGTTGAGACCGCCAATGTTCTAATCCTATGGTTACTGACTGCTTCTTGTAATTGAAAGTTACAAATTTTTTCAATATCGGCTCCTTTCGTGTCCGGTTTTTGTTGCTGCTTGTTGATTCCTTGTATGAATTTTTGACTTCCTCTTCTGTGATCACGTATTTAATTTGATGACTGGCTCCTGTACTTCTGTTTGTCGGTGTCTGCGTTTCTTCGACATCTTCATCTGTCTCTTCGCAATCTTCATTATACTTGAAGTGACTCCAATGCTGGCACATTGGATCTTTTTGGGTCCTGGGGATCTTCTCGGTTGCAGCGAGCTTATCATCTCCATGCGCTTCGATTGCAGATTCTTTCTCCGGATCTTTCGTCACAAAGCTGTCTGGACTATGACTGTTTGGCGCAACTCCTTCCTCATTTTTCTTCGATGGCGCCATTGTCAATATCTGATTGCGTCAGAATTTTTGAAAACCAGAGCATGACCTTGTCTCCAGAGAGGCGCATCCTCTCTAAGGCATAGAGAAACTTTGAAGTTCTTGGGGATTTGCTTTTGTATGATGATTAAAAAACGGTTGCCACATACCTGTTTAATGTCTCCTGACTATCTTGACAGCGCAGAAATCACGATAGACCTTAAGAAGTAGTTCTTTGCTGCAAAGACTAGTAGCTGCAGGTTTATTTTTTGGTAGAAAAGTTCAATTTGATATTGAAGATGAGTGCCAAATACTGTAGCTCTAGATTCTCTTCTTGAAAAGATTGATTCAAACTTGATCATGAGAGTTGAATGCCAAAGTTGCAATTTGTTTTTGATTCAAGTATTCAAATTGGTATCTGAAGTCGCATCGACTCTTTAATAAGGTTGGTAATGGATGGAAACAAAGTTCCTTGATCTTCGATAGTGAGTTGTGTAACAGGTTGAGTTGTGGGTCGGGCCTCGGACAGTAAAGGGACAGGCCACATTTGGCTAGTGTGATATATTGTTAGATTGTTAATGAGTCTTTTATCATGATTGATAAAGGTTCTTGAATGTATATTACAGCGTACCTAGACTTACACCCAGGGTCATTCACTGTCGACCGAATATGGTATAGTGATTATATAGTAATGATTAAAGTTCAGGCTCTACAGTAGGTAGGGCTCTCGCTTTATATAAACATTCAAGAGATTGTTAAATTAGCAAGTGGGATACGACCAATACAAATAGGTATGCATCATTGACCTTGTCTCTCTACACAGATAGCTTTCTAGCAACAGAGACAAACAGGGGTGATTTACCAGTGGACTACAACGTCTTGGATCGATCAAGTGTCAATATGCTTGTCTATCATTATTGTCATCTTGCTTTGCTTTGGTAATTGACAACTTGCCACAAACCAATGCAGAATTGACTGTTCTTTATTGTTTGTTGGCTTGCTAGAAAGAGATTGTAAAAACATTCATCAGACAACGATTGTATGTTCAAGTTTTTTGAACTTGGAAAAATGCTTATATTGACTAAAATCTAATGATGACTAGTAATTGATTGAGTGGCCTTGCAGGTATGGCTAATGACAACCTTTCGACTTGTCTTGACTACAACAAACATACTTTGAAACTTTCCAAGTTCTATTTTTTTTTTCTTTCTATTTTTGACTTCCCTTGCTTCTCTTCCTAAACCACCCAACACCTAAGTCTTAACACAAAGCGCCTGTCCCACACTCAAATTCGCACAACCAGCATCAATCTCGGTATTTAAACTCCTCAAGGTTTCCAACGTGATCCCATTCTTCGCATCAACAATATCGCATGTATCTCCCATTGAGACAATGAAGAATGTAGTGCAATTTGCAGCGGTTCCAGGGAACACGGTACCCGTGGTGTTGGTGGTTGGATCGGTCACAGTAGCGGTTATGGTGGTGGTGTTGGCAGAACTGGTGGTGTTTGCTTGGGGGGTATCCGTGATGGAAAAGGAGGTTAGATCGCGGGCCTCGGCAGCGGGCGCGGTGGTGTTTGTTGCGCTACCAGGGGCTGGAGGAGCTGGACCGCCAGCTGGGGGAGCGGGGGGAGCTGGCTTTGTGGTGTTGGCTGCATCAGCGGGCGGGGCTGGACCACCGGCAGGAGGAGTAGGCGGGGCTGGCATTGTGCCGTTGCCTTTTGCAGCTGGAGCTGGTGGAGCTGGACCACCGGCGGGAGGGGCTGGCGGGGCTGGCATTGTGCCGTTGCCTTTTGCAGCTGGAGCTGGTGGAGCTGGACCACCTGCTGGAGGAGCAGGGGGTGCAGGCATCGTAACATTGGCTGCATCAGCGGGTGCGAGGGGAGCAGGAGCACCGGATGGAGGCGCCGGAGGAGCAGCCATTGTAGTATTGGCAGCGTTAGGATCAGCGATTGCTATTATACTATTTACGATATTAATTCCATCGTCGATAAATACGAATTCAAGGTAAAGCTAGGTAATGAATGCTTACTCTCTCGTCTCCAACTGAATAGGAGAGGCGTGGATAGCCGTTGCCAAGACGGCGAGTGTAAGAGCGGTAAATGAATATTGCATTTTGAAGTTTTGGTTTGGATATCGTTGGGTATATGAGACGAACTAATCTTGTTTGATAATATGAAGAGAAGAAATACCAGTAAATCTAAGGAATGAGGATGAAATATCAAATTTCAATTTTAATATATTAAGGAGAGTAATTCAGCAGGACTAGCCGCGAAAAAGGGAGTAATTAGTAAAGAGTGTATTAGAAAGTTTGGTTCGAGTTTATATAAATATCGGATGTGGTTTGCGAGAAGCTTATATACATATGTAGGAGAGATGCTGTTTAAGTGTAGATTCTCAAACAGTGCCAGAGATAGAGATGTTTGAAGGTTTGAAGGTTTTATATAGGCTTCACGATCAGTGCTCAGCCACGCTAAATCATGCCGTGATTGTGTGAGATGGGATTTTTACCGGAGAATTAACAGAGTGGTATACTTCAGACGGTTCTGAAATCGGCCAAGGGATTTGCGCACAAGTCATGGTAGGGCGAATGAGGTAAATTGAGGTGAGGTGAGGTAGAGATAGTTTGGAGCAGTAGTCGCACTGCCTTCATTCTGAAATTGAGAGCTTTTATCTGGAAAGCTTGTTTTGGAAAGGGGGGTTAGCGGGTTCTTTGATGGATGCACAGACTGGAGGGGAAGCTACAGCTATGAAATAAATGTATCGAGGGAGATGTAGACGATTCGAAGGGAGAGCTGTGTATGGCACATAAGAGGAATTCTAAATTGGATATGAAAGACGCCCCTCTTGAATGATCATCAAAGTAAGTAAATGTTAGCACAATCTATCAGCATACCCAAGGATCCCGTTCGTGAACTTTCTTGTTGTCAGACCCTCTTTCTCTTCCTCCTCTGTTTCAACCCATCTTTCCAATTCGGAACATCGGCAAAAATACAAATATAATTCCATCAGAACATCAGGTCTACAATGTCCGAAGATCTGATGGCACATGATGGCATGTATCAAATCATGCTTAAATTGAGCACTGCTTCAAATCTCTCGCCAAGGCTCACCCAGAGTGTGGTTTCATCTTCTGGATAGAGATTATGCTATGTGAAACATGTGATAAGACTCATTCTCGCTGTGATTGTTTGAGATGGGAAAAGTTTGATAGGTTGGTATGATTCATTGATGAATCGAATAGCTTAGAGGAGATTGGAGGGGGACATTGTATGCTGATTGCTGTGTCTCAACTTCGTCGTCAGATTGAGGTGATGTTGTTGTGGTTGTTGGATCGTGATAGGTTGATTGGGTCATGTGATGAGATCTAGATTTTCGAGGTCTCAGAGCTATCCATGTACGGCGTGGCAACGAAAAAGAAATAAAACGATGTGTGGGGGATCTTCAAATGAATGCATCTAGAATGAATGCAAGAGAATCCGTTCCGGATTTCCCGTACAGAGTTTATACCAACGCCATGCAAACCAAAACCAATAATTAAATGTCACCATTCTCATCCCTCGTGCTGCCGAGTCTTCGCCGTTCAAAAATCGGCTGGAGGGTCTGATAGAAAGCTTAAAAATGCGCATGGTCGGATTCGTCTGGCTGCATCCGACAGTTGTTCAGATAATTTCTTGGAATGACATTCTTTTGATGATTGTTACGTGATAGGATACTATCTACATATGAATATGAGACAATTGATGCTCAGCGCCCTCGAACCATCAGCACCCTCAAGCCACCGGTTCGAAGTATAGGTTGAAACGTAGCATTCAGCGAGAAGTAACCGTTTCTTTTCATAAAGGGAAGCTTCCGAGCTTTACGAGGGTTCATGGCATGGGTAGACATGGATCAAAGAGGTACGCCCCCAAACAATCTATATCGTTGTCAATATACCAAAACATGTAGTGTAACCACCAGGCATGATTTCCCATTGCAGTTTCCTCCAGGCTTCGTGACGGTTTTGGTGTACTTGTACGTTCGGACGGCCAGTCCAGTGTCCTGACGGGCAATCGTACCATAGGTATGAATCAATAGGAAGCTCGAGATGTTGTGTTTCCAACAGAACCAAACTCGCGGGTCTAAACAGCCTTATTGACTCCTATCAGGGTTCAGGATGCTAGCACGGTAATTGTCCCTTGTAGAACGGGGCCTATAGAAAATGAGTTCTTCGGTAAGATAATATCTCCACCCTGAAAGAACCTTAAAGGGGCAGATCGATGGATACGGGATGAAACTTCGGGGAAACATTGAAAGAGGGGGTCCGTAAAAGGGAGCTTCACCGCCACTAACTTGATAATAAGTCGGTTACCCTACTTTCGGGCCAACAGGGTTTTGGGCCACCCTTTCACACCAAAAATCACTTTTTAGGCCTATTAATATCTCTATCAATATATAATATAATTCAATGAAAATTTGTATATATATAATTTAGATCGATTTAAGCTTATTCTGAAATTTTTAGATTTTTAGGATTTTTCTATATTGAAAGCTAAAGCTTCAAAATATCGATTTTCAAATTTGTATAGAAATCATATACAAATTTAGAATTTTTATAAAACCTTTAATAACTTTTTAACAATAATTATTAAAAGAAAACTATATATATTTCTGAGATATTTGAGCTTGAATCTATATAAAAATTCAAAAAAAAAATTCAAAAAATTAACAGATATAGAGATATAGTATATAGTAAGTTTAGAATAATATAAATAATCCCTATCATTTTGAGGGTATCCCTTTAAATATTTATTTATAAGAATTTTTTTATTTTTTCTGAATCTATTATATGAAATATATTATAAAGTGATAGTGAAATTTTACAATATATTTTTAGCAATTTTTATTCGAAAGTTATTAAAGATTTTATAAAAGTTTCAAATTTATATGTGATTCCCATACAAATTTAAAAATCGATATTTTGAAGCTTTAGATCTCAATACAGAAAAATCCTAAAAATCTGAAAATTTCAGAATAAGCTTAAATCGATCTAAATTATATATATATAAATTTTCATAAAATTCTATCCATAAATGAGAGAGTTAAAATTTCCATTTTTGGTGTAAAAAGTGGCCCAAAAGGGGGGTGGCCAGAAAGTGGGGTATCCGACTTATAGAACAGAGCTTTTCGAGGGTGGATAAACATCGCATTTGCGTTGCGTTCGAAGTTCGAATAATCTCATCACATTTTCGAGCGTATATCAAAATGTAAAGAAAGGCAATACGTCGTCTAAAATTATCTACAGATGCTAGTACAGATGAACCTGGATATATGGACCTAAAAATTTCGAGGCCTAAATGCCTGTATATAGGGATTTCCTGTATAGTAAGGTCAGGCAATAAGATATCAATTTTGAATAACTTCAATTTTTTTCATTAAAATATTCTAATAATAAATTCTATTACTGATCTATAATCGTTTTTAATATTAAATTCTATTCTCTTTGCTTTAATGATTTTTTGAGATATAGATTTTTAATATCTTGTTATTCCTAAAATGAAATTAAAACTCTAATAGTTTTAAGAGCTTTAATATCATTAATAACCTCTTTTTGAACAATTTTGTTTGTATCCTTTTCATCCTATTCTATTATCTTTCTTTTTGCTATAATTGTATTAATAAGTGAATCTAGATCGTTTTTCTATCAATTATATACTTTGAATATAGTAATATATATTTTTTGATATTAGGTATATTAGTAATAATACTTAGTATATATAATTATATTAAAATCGATTATAATACTTTCAATTCTTTCTTTGATTTTTTATATATATTATATAATGTTTTAGGATATAAGTCTAGATCGATATATTCTGATTTATTTTAGTAATTTGATATAGTGTTAGTTTTCATATTATTCTAAGCTTATATTCCCTATTGAATAAATTTCAGTATATCAAGTTTTCAGGAATAGTTAAAATCTTAATCAAAGTATTTAATTATATAGTGTATTAAACAATATTGTAAATAAAGTTTTCAATTGGTTATAATACTTTAATTAAAAGGTTGATATTTTGTTATAATATTAAGTAATAGAAATTCGATTTTAATATTAATAAGGTATTGAATAAAATTAGTCTTTTTTAATGTTAGTATATAAATTGAGAAATTATTTATTAATAAAAATGCTTTTTTTTTCAAGTTCTCATTAGATTGTCAAATTATATAAGATATTCAAAAAAGATTTCATTCCTTATTCAAATCTTTTTATTAAATCGATATTTAACTTTTAGATTATTAAAATTTGTAAATCTAATTATTCTAAATATATTAAACACTTTAATTATATCTATTATCTAAAAAAGGAATTTATTGATTCTGAAAATATTTGTAATAAGATTAAATATAATTCTAACTTTATCTTGCTTTTTATTTAATATATCGAAAATAATAAGGGTATATTCTGATCTGGATTTCCAAAAAGCAGTTATTTCGTTACAATTATAGATATTGTTTATATAATATTATATATATATATATTGAATTTTTTTTATTCTAATTTCTGATTTTATATTTATTTAAACTAATAAAACATTTTTAAATTAATATCTTTTCTATATATTTATATATATTTTGAAGCTATATAGAAATCCATTTGATTATATCTTATTTTTTTCAAAAGATAGAGATAATTCTTTATATTCAGAAAGCTTTTACTAAAACTCTATAGCTTTTATTTGTAATATATTACTTGTAATAGATTCTGTATTAAAGTAATAATTATATTATATTTGTTATTCAAATAGGGCTTTTTTGAGAATAGAATAAAAAGGTTTTCGATTCTTTAAAAAGATTAATTAATATTTCAAAAGATTTTGTAAATTAAATTATATATTTAGAGCTTAATATATAATTTAAGATTTGTTTTAAAAAATTATTATTATATATATTACGGTCAATCCGTATAAGGGCTGGCGAGGGTATATAAATAGCCCCTGCAGGACTACTTCAAACCAACACCAACCTATATACAATTATAAATTATAGAATTTTTATAATTTAAAAGAATTAATAAAAAATCTTTATACTATATTACACCTAATTGATTTATTATTATTATTTATTTTAACGATTCTTTTTATTCTATATATAAAGCAATCTATTAATTATTTCCTAATCGAGTAGATATTAGTATTATTATAGTTTTAATAAAAAGAATATTTGTTTTTGAGAAAAAACAGAATATTTATAATACAATTTAAAATCAATTTAATAAAACTATTAATTAACTTTTGTAGAGTATTAATAGTAATATCTATTTAATTCAATTATATTTCTATCACAGTTAATCCGTGTAAAGACTAGCAAAGGCACGTGAGTAGCCCCTGCAGGGCTACTTCGGGCCAACGCCAACCCGTGTATAATTATAAATTGTAGAATTTTTATAATTTAAAAGAATTAATGAAAAGTCTTTGTGCTATATTATACCTAATTAATTTATTACTATTATTTACTTTAACAATTCTTTTCATTCCCCTATATAAAGTAATCCATCAACTATTTCTTAATTAAGTAATTATTGATATTACTATAGTTTTAACAAAAAGAATATTTATTTCAAAAGGAAAATAGAATATTTATAATACAATTCAAGATTAATCTAATAAAACTATTAATTAATTTCTGTAAAATATCAATAATAATACTTATTCGGCCCAATTACACTCCTCTAATAACAACGAGAATGTATTGTTGGCCTAATAATTTAAAAAAATAAAAAAAGAAATAATAGCTATAAGAGAGGCTTATAGAATAACTATAGATTATATTTTATATACAATCACTCTAATTGAATATAATCAATCTATAACTATATCGAATACAATCTATTAAGATACTAATCTTGATTAAAGAAAATCATTAAAGTTGTAAAGATTAAAACAATACAAAAAAAAGAATATCGAAAAAACTAAAAACTTTTTTTTTTAAACAAAAATTATATTTCGAAGCAATAGTAGATACCATTTTTCTATTGATATTAAAAAAATAGAATATATTATTTAATACTTTGAATAGTAGCCTTTAGCAATTTAGTGTTGGTATATAAGCAAATCAAGTTATGAAAAGATAAATTGGAAAAACTTTAGAAAATATATGTATAATGTTATTATAAATAAAAGAATTAAATAGTAACAAGCAATTTAAAAGATTATGTATACAAAACAAAAAAAAGGAGAAATTATAAATATATTTATAATTTATTTAGAAGGCTTTAAGAAGGATATCAAATAAAAGGCAAAGAATATTCAGATCAAAAAGCTCTTAATAGATTTATTACTTAATATAACTAAAAAAATATCAAAATCTTTATAATAATCTAAATCATATAATAAGCTTATAAGATAAATCTATAAACTAAAAAATATA